GCGGGGGTTGAAGTACATCCACTCGGCCAACGTCCTGCACCGCGACCTCAAGCCAGCCAACATCTTCATCAGCACGGAGGACCTGGTGCTGAAGATTGGTGACTTCGGGCTGGCCAGGATTGTGGACCAGCACTACTCGCACAAGGTAGGCAATGGTGAATTGACTGTTGGCAGCTGGAGCAGGAGGCCATTGAATACTGGTAGAGTGATGTGGTTGGACCATGGTGGGTCTTCTTGGAGGAACTGGTGCTTGAGCCTGACTGTGCAGCTGTGAGCCCTGCTGGGGTGGTTGGTGCTGGGGATCACTCTCCCTGCCTTAAGCCAAGACATGTTTTCATGGAACCATAGTTTGGGTGGGAAGGAACAGGAACAGGTTGCCCAGAGCACTTGTGGATTCTCCCTGAGTGGAGATATTCAAGTACCATCTGGACACAATCCTGTGCCATGTGGTCTAGGGTAGCCCTGCTTGAGCAGGAGGCTGGACCAGATGATCTACTGTGGTCCCTTCCAACCTAACTGTGTGATTCTGTGAACCTTTAAAGCTCTTTAGTCCAACTGCCTTGCAATGAGCAGGGACACCTTCCACTAGACCACAGAATCACAGGATCAGTCAGGTTGGAAAATACCTCTGAGATCACCAAGTCCAACCCATGACCTCACACCACCATGGCAACTAGACCATGGCACTGAGTGCCACGTCCAGTCTGTCCTTAAACACCTCCAGGGGTGGTGACTCCACCACCTCCCTGGGCAGCACATTCCTGTGTCTATCCACCCTTTCTGGGAAAAAAATTCTTCCTAATGTCCAACATAAACCTCCCCTGGCACAGCTTGAGACTGTGCCCTCTCATCCTGTCACTAGCTCCCTGGGAGCAGAGCCCCACCTGACTCCAACCTCCTGTCAGGGAGTTGCAGAGGGTGAGAAGGTCTCCCCTGAGCCTCCTCTTCTCCAGGCTGAACACCCCCAGCTCCCTCAGCCTCTCCTCATGGCCCTTGTGCTCCAGACTCTTCCCCAGATCTGTTGTCCTTCTCTGGACAACCTTCTCAGGTTGATCAGAATCCTATCCAACCTGGCCTTGAATGTTTTCTGGGCAAAACCCACAGGTTGAACTCTGCCAAGTGTGCCCCAGGGCCCTCCAGCACTACAAAGCTTCAGGTAGGACACAGGAAGGGTTCAAGTGGCACTGAGGTGTCTTTCATTGCTTTATATCGTATGTATCAAATATGTACTTCGGTGTTTTATTCCATCTCAGCAGAGGACTGTGGGGAGGTGTGTGTTTGCTTTGCTCAAATGACTAAGCTCTGTGTTTCTTTGCTGCTGTTATAAAACAGGAGCTGCTAGGAGCACATGGAAATTGCACCTGGCTTGTCTGCACCCACTCTGCTTGGCTTTGTCCTCACTTGGGTGCCAACCTGCTCCTGAAAAACCCAACTCTGCATGAATTACACTTGTTT